TCACAGCCACCTTGCAACTTAGCTGTGCAATTGCTGCTACAGAAGAGCAGGCTCGGGATGGGCAGCACGGCCACGGCGCCTCACCAGGGCCACGGGCAACGTCAGCTTTGACGCCCGCGGCCGCCTGACTCCAGGGCCATGTGGCTGGTGCTGCCCCCCAGCCTCCTGCTCAGTGACCCCCACCACCAGCCTATTAGGATTTTCCCAGTGGCACTGGATGGCCTGGGAGTGAAGCAAGGTTTGGAAAGAAACGTTTGTATGAAACAATTTTTGTTTCCTCTTAAAAGCCAAACACCAGCGTCACATCGGCCCAAACACAAAAGGCTCAAGCATGCAGCCTAGATGCGCGTGGGTCCCTGCGGTCACCAGGCTTCATCTGTGTCAGAGGGAGCAGGGTGGTGGCCTGCCTCTGAGCCCTATTCCTGGACGTTCATATCCTCTGAAAGGGCAGGGCCTCAAAGATAACTCATGTGACAAATATGGATAGTTCCAGAGAGCTAGAAACTTGGGGAAACTTCTGAAATGGCCTTTATCCTACAAGTGGGGAGACGGACTCCAGGTGCCCCCAAGGGTCCGGCCTGAGGCACTGCAACAGGTGCCTCATAGGTCTAAGTTGCTCATAAAATGCCACACGAGCTGTAGCCTGTACCCAATGCCTCTTCGGTGGCCAGGTGGATGCAGGGCCGGGCTGCACGAGCCGACAGAAGCCTGGAGTGGGAGTGGGAGTGGGAGAGCGTGAGGAGGGGCTCTGGAGGAGAGGGACGGAGCCGACGCCCCCAGGGTGGGAGAGCAGGCTCGGCCGGCGGCGTGAAGGTGGTGCAGGTTCTTGCCCGTGCAAAGTGCACAAGGGGCTGCACTCTTGCACTCTGGTGGGAAGGGCAGCCGGGCAGGGCCGGCCCTTCAAGGAGGTTTCCTTTAGCAAAAGCCGGAAACCTGAAATGATTTTCAGGTTTCAGGTCGACTGATGCCCCTGAGACTTGCTTTATTCCTTTGCTCTCTTCTACTCCTAGAGAGAATGCTGCTCGCCGCAGCTTTGCAGGTCTTCTCCTTCCCTCTCAGGGCTGACCCTGCTCTAAACGCCGTCGTGTGCGCCTGTCCACCCAGTCACGTAGTGGCTACTGCGTGCCCAGTAGCACGGTGGGCAGCACACACGTACTCACCTCCTGGAAGCCTCCTACGGATTTCCTTTTTTATCGAGTCCAACGTGCAGACCGGGGTGTGTGCCAGGAGCTGATGTGGGGCTGGCGCAGGCTGCTGGGTCTCGCCTCTAGAGCCGCCGACCCAGACCAAGACTCTGCCTCCATAACCAGCTTTTGGGAGCTTTGCGGCAGGGCCAGGAGCCACACTCGAAGAACCACTGCTCCAGCAAACGTGCTGCCGGCTGGGCACACCCGGGGCCGGCTGCTGCTGCTGGCTGAGCACTCAGCGGGTGCCCTTCACTCCGAGGCCCGCTCCTGCGCATCCCACTGCGTCCCCGTGGCATGTGCTCGCAATGATGGTGTCTGCAGCGCGGCAGTGCCAGCCGGGGCCTCGAGCCAGACGGGGGCTGCACTGGGTCCACAGCCCCTGGGCAGGGCCACCCGGTCTCACATACCGGGCCACTGAGGAGCCAGGGGACATGCACAGAGATGAGCAAGGAGGCCTGCCCAGGGAAGCTGGGCCTCAGATCCACCGTGAACACAGGGCCCACTCTCCAGGCTTGTCCAATGGCAGCAGGACGTTCCGCCAGAGCCAATGGCCCATGCGGCCCTAGGGCCCGCGTCCTGGGTGGCAGGAGACCCAGGCGTCCGAGAACCCAGAGGCGCCGGAGGGGAGTCTATGCAGACACTGAGGCGGGAGGGCCTGGGCAGAGGGAGGCTGGCGGGGAGGAGCGCGAGGCATGGCAAGGGGAAGCCCAGGAGGCCGGGCTCCATGGCGGGAGGGCAGCACTGCTCCGGTTACAGAAGCGGAGAGGAGAGCGCGGGCGCCACATGGACACGGGCAGCACGGGCACCCGCTCAGCGCCTCCGCACCAGGCCCAGGCCAGCGCCCAGCGATCGTGCGGCAGCCCGGTGTCTGCGGGCCCCCAGTCCCACCCTGGGCACCCCGCGGGGCCCCAGGTGTGTGTCCCGAGCACAGCCCAGACCACGAGGGGGTCGGAGGTGGCTGCACCTTCCAGAGCGCAGAGGCCCCGATCCTGGGTGGTGGCTCCTCAGAACGTGAGCAGCTGCAGTCTCCTCAGCAGGCAAAGCAAATTGACATGTTTGTTCATCGAATTCCTAGAGAGCACCGCCGCTCGGACTGGCACTTGGGCCCTGCTCGTGGGAGGGGATGTTAAAAGAGCATTTCTGGAAAGCAACTTGCCGTGCGTACCAAGAGCTTTGAGGATGCTTGCATACGCTGACCTAGACGTTCCTCTTCTGACGAACAGTCTTAGGAAAATAAGTAAAATAGAGCCCATACGCATGAGCCTTGCAATGTTACCTTGGTACGTAGCCCACTGGCTTTCAGAATATGGACCATGGGCCTCACTGGGCACTGAGACCAGAGACTATTTTTACTTCCTTCTTCAACATGTTTCGCATTTCCCGAGTTACCCTCACCGTACTCTACTGTTGTAATCAGAAAAGAGACCTACGGGGCTCTTAAGAACACATCAGGAGGCAGCCCCTCCGCCCCGACCACATTCAGGCCACCCTCACGCAGCCCTCGGCCTGTTTCCGCCTGCGGCTCTTCTGGCCCCCCCAGGCCCTCCCCGCGCAGGGCAGCGGCAGCGGCATCTCCGGCCTTGCACCCTTCTCCTTCCCTGCCCCGAGCTCTCGCACTAAGCTGGCTCAACGCCCAGCATGCTTCCGTCCCCTCTGCGAGTGGCACTTCCAAAGCTGCCCCCTTCCCATCCAGCCTCCCTTAACGGTGTCCCCATGGGATGGGGACAGCAAGTTCCATCCAGGCCGGCAGCTCTGGAGCTTGGGTTTCACCCTGCCCCCGCGGCGGGTGGGGGACGCTGGGCACACCCTGGGACCCCGCCACCACCTGCTGGCCTGCCTGCTCCTCCTACGGCTTCCCGAAGCTGCTTGACTTGGGGCTACCCCTCCTGAGAGCCTCCAAGAGATTTGTGACCATCCCCAGTTTTTTAACCTCAAACCCACACATAATGGGAATGGACAGAGACCAGTGTGGGCATGACGCCCTCACAATAACTCAGACCCTGGGGGCCCACAGAGCCCTCCTGGCTGCAGCTGGTCCACCTCCCGGGGCGGGGGGACAGCACCCAGGCATGTGCTGGTCTCAGGGCTGCCCCGTTCCGCTTCTACTCCCCGGATTGCACACTTCCTCGGGGTGCGGAGTGTGGCCCCAGCAGCCTCCCAGTGACACAAGCAGGGACGCCCAGCCCCAGCCCAGGGCCAGAGCTCTCCTGGGGCCTGGGCAGCAGGTGTCAGGGAGGGTACAGCGTCCCTAGAGAGCAGATGGGGAGCGTGCGACCACCGGTGGGCCCAGCTGGCAGCGACTGCCATGATGTTCAGCACATGGTCATCCTAGACTTCTCACACGTCTCTTGTAAACTCGAGGCTCAAAAAGGTGAGGTGACACTCGTGGGCTGCAGATGAGGGAGCCGGGTGTGAACCCTCCTCTCAGGGACTCCAAAGCCTCCATCACCTCACTAGATGCTGCCTTGCTCCGGGGTCTCGAGTTCAGGGCTCACCTGGCTGAGAAGCAGCACGGGTAGCTCTGCAGCCACACACCCAGCCCCCGTGTGCTCCCCAGGGCCAGGGCCTCCTACTGACCCTGGGGGACCCCACCCCCCAGGCCCGGGTCTTCTGAGAGTTTTGTGTGGTTTCTGTACTTGGAGGACTTCTTGGTCTTGTCCGTTTCCTGGATTCCTCATTTGCGCAGCCACAAGGAGCATGTGCACCCGCCTCGAGTCTTCTGGGCTGAGCTGGCAAGGAAAGGACAGAGGATCCTAATTAGGGGGCGATAACCCCACCGGGAAGTTCAGATTCTCCGCAGCGGCCGCGCCCTTCCCACAGGCCCTGTGGGCTTCCCAGATGTTTACAGAGCCTTCATTAGCGGGGCGGCCTCAGATAAGGGCGGAGGTCGAGGCCTGTAGGAGCGAGCGGGAGGCCGCTGGGACGGGGGGCCGCGGGGAGGGGGTCGGTGGCCGCGGGGAGGGGGTGGAGGCCGTGGGGGGGCCACGGGGAGGGGGGCGCAGGGGGGAGGAGGCCGCGGGGAGGGGGTGGAGGCCGCGGGGGGGGACCACGGGGAGGGGGGCGCAGCGGGAGGAGGCCGCGGGGAGGGGGTGGAGGCCGCGGGAAGGGGGGCGCGGGGGGCAGAGGCTGCGGGGAGGGAGGTGGAGGCCATGGGGGAACCACGGGGTGGGGAACGCAGGGGGGAGGAGGCCGCAGGAAGGGGGGCAGAGGCCGTGTCGGGCCCGGAGGCCACGGAGAGGCGGTTGGTGGCCGTGGGAAGGGGGATGGAGGCCGCATGGGGTCACGGGAAGGAGGGCACAGGGGGTGGAGGCCGTGGGGGGCGGAAGCCGCAGGAAGGGGGGGTGGAGGCCGCGGGGAGGGGGGCACAGGGGGCGGAGGCCACGGGCCGGGGCGGTGCACCCCAGGGTCCCCGAGCAGTCGCAGGGGGCGGGAGGAGGCCGTGAGGGGAGGAGGCCGCGGGGAGGAGGAGGCCGCGGGGAGGAGGGAGGAGGCCGTGGGGAACGGGAGGCGGCCGCGGGGGGTGGAGGACTGGGGGAGGAGGCCGCGGGCTGGGTCGGTGCACCCCCGGGCTCCTGGAGCAGCCGCAGGGGGTGGGAGGAGGCCTGGGGGTAGGAGGCCTGGCGGGGCAGAGGCCGCGGGGAGGAGGAGGCCGCGGGGAGGAGGAGGCCACGGGCCAGGGCGGTGAACCCGGGCTCAGGCTGGGGAGCCCCCTCAGGCCCGGTGGCCCCGCCCCCGCCCCCCCCCCGCCCCCGCGCCCTGCCCGCCGCCCGGCCGCTGCCCGCAGTGTCCGGTGCAGGGCGAGCGCGTCCCAGGATGTGCGGTGGGGCGGTCGGCGGGGCCCTGCGCGCCCTGTGCACCCTGTGGCTGCTGGGCTGCGGGGCGCGGGGGCGGCCGCTCGAGGGGCGCCGGCGGCCGGGCTCGCAGGGGGTGCCCGGGGGGCCGCGGGACCTTAGGGCGCTGCCGCAGGCGGTGCAGCGGGACCTCCTGCGCGGCCTCAACCTGAGCGGCGTCCCGGCCCAGCCCCGGGCCCGCGCGGAGCCGCCGCAGTACATGCTTGACCTGTACCACCGCTATGCCAGCGACAAGGCGGCCGCGCCCACCTCCAACGTGGTGCGCAGCTTCAGCGTGGAAGGTACCGGGGCGCGGGGGGCAGGAGGGCCCACGGGGGGCTCGCAAGGGGCCTTTGAAGGAGCTCAATGAGATGCAATGCATGGGTGAGCTCGGCGCTGCGGGCCAGGCTTTGTCCTCGGGTGGCTCCGGGAAGGAGGTTGGGGCCGTAGCCTCCCCACTTGAACACAGCCAGCTTACCCAGCTTTCAACCAGTTGGTGTGTTTTTGGACCTTGGAAGAAGGTCTGTTTCTCTCCCATCACAAAGCGTCTACACGTCTGAGCAGTTTTTCCGAGACAGAGATTTTAGAGGACAAGCCTGTCATCTTCTACACATAAAATGATCTACCCCATCGGAGAGGGCTGGGAGGTAGCAAACACGGACTCAGTTCGCAGGACGCGGCCAAGGCGGCGGATACAGGGGGAGCTTGCCCAGGTCAGAAGACGGTTCCACAGCTGCCTTGTGACGCAGGCCCTGCAGGCCCACAAAGCTTGGCCCCGGCTGCCACTGCCTCTCTGAGCGCCCGGGCACAGGGGCCTCCCTCCCGCAGGCTTGACACCTGCAAACCCCTAATAGGCCTGGCTGAGCACCACAGCCCCCCGACTTGCCACGCCTGCGGAGCACATGCCCCGTCATGGTCGTGGTGCAAGCCCGGCGTCCTGAGTTTTCTGATTCCCCAGAAGAAGGAGAAAACTCTAGATTGGATGTGAACTTGCTGATTTTTAAAATATTAGCTTGATTTCAAAAAATGTGGTCTATGGATCACCCAGATGCTGCCAGTTAGTCTCCAGCTCTGTAGCCTGTTCTTCGGGAGAAGGCGTGCCTCCCTGGCTGGACCGCATCACCATCTCATGGTCCGGGGGTCCAGCATTTGGAGCCACGTCCATGAGCATCCCCTCCCCTGCCCAGCACTGACTGTGTCCCCAGCACAGGCTTCCTGGCTCAATCCAGCTCTGCCCACGGCCCATGCCGCCGTGGAGGCCAATTACGCTTCCCTCGCAGACGGTCTAAGCGCGGCTCAGGCAGGGAGGGTGACATTTTGTGGATGTGTGACATGGGCCTGCAGCAATTTTCCAAGCATGGCACAGGAGACCACTCCTGCTCATGGGCCCCGTTCGCTGTTCCCATGCATTCTGCAGGAGCTAGAACGGCACACGCACACTGGGTGCGGGGCCACACGCTCTGAGGGGCGTGCAGGTTGGGAAGGAGGGTCTGAGGAGGATGCAGAAGCACTGGCCAAGCATCAGCTGTGAGCCAGGGGCAGTGTCAGTAAGTTCCATGTGCCGCCTTGGGGGAGCCTCCCACCAACCCTGGAAGGCGGGGAGGATGAGCCCCATTCCACAGATGAGGCAACTGAGGCTCAGAGCCACTCAGCACTTCTCCGAGGTCACGAGCCTGGGAAGGGACAGAGTCCAGACTAGCACCTTGGTCTGCCAGATGCTGCCGGATCTCACAGCAGCACGCAGGCTCCCCTCACGCTGTGACCGAGCTGTGGCATCACAGAGACGTGCTGGTGGCTGCGTGCCAGCTAGGAGAAGTTGGAAACTGAGACACTTGGGTAGCTACAGGGTATGCCCCATTGATGACTAATGTGACAAAGCAGGTGAGGTGAATCTCTTTCATTTTTTTCCCCCAATTAAAAAAAAAATTCAGTTTCACTTTGCTTGGAAATTAGAGTTCTGAATAATTTCTATGCTGTTTAAATTGCTGAGATTTTTAACATTGTGTTAATGCTGGAAATTTGCCATCCCCTCCCAGGGCGGCTCCTCCCACGTCACGTGCTTGCGATTCCCACTCTGAGGCTGACGGTATGCTTTGCTGCGCTGCTTATTTGGTACTTTCTTTTAATGTGAGGAGCTTAACAGGATGTGTGCGCTTGGCAGTTAAACAGCCCAAATGCCAGTCTCCACATCTGTAAAAGTGGAAATAATCAGACCGTCCCAGGGCCCGTGAGGAGAGCAAAGTGGCACAGAGAATGCAGAGCTCCTAGTGCGATGCTGGGCACCTAGTAGGTGCTCCCTGAAGGGTGGACCCGTCAACTCCAATGCAAGCACCTCCTGCCTCTAGTTTTCTGGAAGATCCTAAATGTCTTTTAAATCCTTCTACAAGAAGGGCCTAAGTGAAACCAAATAAAGATTTGATAGAGTTGGTCAGTCAGATCCTGGATGCCCTTTGACCCAAGTCACGAGTCTCAGCTTTGGTGTCATGAAAGGTGACCTTGACTGTACCCTTGCATTTCAGATGCTGTCTCCATCATGGCCACAGAGGACTTCCCCTTCCAGAAGCACATCTTGCTCTTCAACGTCTCCATTCCTAGGCATGAGCAGATCACCAGGGCCGAGCTCCGACTCTACGTCTCCTGCCAAGGTCACGGAGCCGCTTCTCGTGAGCTGAGAGGCAACATGGCTATTTATGACGTTCTGGATGGAGCAGATGCCTGGGATGCTTCTGCAGGCACCAAGATGTTCCTCGTGTCCCAGGACATCTCGGATGAGGGCTGGGAGACCTTTGAGGTGTCCAGCGCTGTGAAGCGGTGGGTCAGAGCAGACTCTGCCAAGAGCAAAAACAAACTGGAAGTGACTGTGGAGAGTCACAGGAAGGGCTGCGACAAGCTGGATATCAGTGTCCCCCCGGGCTCCAAAAACCTGCCCTTCTTTGTCGTCTTCTCCAATGACCGCAGCAATGGGACCAAGGAGACCAGGCTGGAGCTCAGGGAGATGATCGGCCACGAACAGGACAGCGTGCTCACGAAGTGGTCCAAGAACGGTCCAGCAGGGACGGGTGACCGCAAGGCTGAGGGGGGCGGGGAAGGTCACACGACCACAGGGTCCTTGTTAGCCAGACGGAAGAGGAGTGCCGGAGCCAACAACCACTGTCAGAAGACCTCCCTGCGGGTGAACTTTGAGGACATCGGCTGGGACAGCTGGATCATTGCACCCAAGGAGTACGACGCTTACGAATGTAAAGGCGGCTGCTTCTTCCCCCTGGCTGACGACATGACCCCAACAAAACATGCCATTGTGCAGACTCTGGTGCATCTCAAATTCCCCATGAAGGTGGGCAAGGCCTGCTGCGTGCCCACCAAACTGAGCCCCATCTCCATCCTCTACAAGGATGACATGGGGGTCCCCACTCTCAAGTACCACTACGAAGGGATGAGTGTGGCAGAGTGTGGGTGCAGGTAGTGCCAGCCTCGGGCGGGGGGGACAGGGTGGACGGGCCCCGTTTCCCTCTGGGCATGCCAGCCCAGGGAAGGAGGGAAGGGGGTGGCCACGTCTGGGAGGCGAAGGCCTGCCCACCCCAGGCGTCCACCACTGGGCCCATTCGCAGGGGACAGCAGTGGCCGGGGCCGGGGCGGGGGCGGGGGAGAGGAGGAGAGCCTGGAAGGATCATTGGGGTGCAAGGGGGGAGAAGAGAAAAGAGGCTGAGAGGGAAGCAATCCAGGGTTAGCAGAAAATAGCAGAAATGAGGGCAGGGGGCTGGACAGATGAGGTGCAGAGATTGGTGGGGCTTAAAAGAGGCGGGAAGTACGGGGCACATTCTCACAACTCAGGGGGTGTGGGCCTGGAGAACCATGTGCTCTACACCCCTCGTTTCGAGCCTCCCTGCAACTCGGCGAGGTGGGGCTCACGAGCAACCAAAACGCAGGCATTTCAAGCCACACCGGCCGCGGAGATGGGGTCCAACCCTCGGTCTGCACAGATCCGTCATCCCCTGGGGCCCAGGACCCTCTCAGGTACCCCATCAAAGAGTATCAGGTCACCTCGCAGCTAAAGAAAATTAGACGCTGGAGGTGGGGAGCGGGGCCGAGCTGCACTGAGCCCCAGCCAGTGCCCACCAGGCTGGCCAGGCCGCTGGAGCGTCCAGCACGTTCTGACGGGCGCCGGGCTACACCAGGGGCCCAGTGCTTTCTCAGATGCGCCTCGAGTCCCCAGGCAACCATCCCCCAGAGCAGCTGCAGGAGGAACGGAGTGCACGACAGGTGCCCGAGGCTGCGTACGCACGGCGGCCGGGGGACGGGGTGGGGACCGGGGGGGACCGGGGGCCGGGGCCGTGGGACAACGCGTCCAGCCGGCGGTGCGGGCCACTGCCCAGCACGGGGTCCCCGGGTGTGCACGGCCCAAGCAGCTCACCAGCACGACGCCCCAGGGCCTGGATTGGAGTTGGTTGGAATAAATGTGCTCTTGCCTCGGTGGCTGCGATGTCCCTGCTTTTAGTCCTGGTGATGCGAACTCGAGCGAGGAGTGCGGCCTTCCCGGGGGGCCCGCAGCCGCCCCTCGACCAGCCGGGCCTTCCCAGCCCCCGCCGCCCCCGCCGGCTTCCCTGAGCTGCACGGCTCCGGCCCCAGGACCGGACTCGGCCCGCTGACCCCGGGGAGGACGGGGTTTCCTGGGAGCCCTGAGGGCCGCGGCTGGAGCAGAACCCGTCGCAGGCCCCGCCACCCAGCCTTCCCCGCCAGTGGAAGCTCCCAGCATATTTAAAAAAAAAAAAAACTTATGTTAGTTTACATGGAACCAACGGAGAGCTTTAACTGAATTCAAATTCATTAATTTAAATACAATTAACTACCGAATTGTAGAAAATACTAACTCCTGGTGAGGCCGGATGAGGAACTCCTCTTAGTTCCGGCGGCACAATCCTGTGTCTGCATCAAAGCTTCACTCGGAAATGAAGTCGAATGTGTCCGCGGTGGACTCCACTGATCAGAGGCCTGATGGCCCCGGGACGCTGCACCCAGGCCTCCCCTGCCCCCGGGCCCTCCCCTCCCTGGGGACAGAGCTGCAGGCGGATGCAGGGGGCAGCATCTCCGTTGTTGGGGGGGGGTCCGGGAGATGTCCACGGAAGGGCCTGCCCAGAGGGTCGGAGCCAGAGCCGCCCCGCTCCAGCCCCGCCCCAGCCCAGCTCCCTTAGTCCTCGGCCTGCCCTCAGGCCTCGGCCTGCCCTCAGGCCCCGCTCCACCGCAGCCCAGTCACCTTCCCTGAAGGCCCGGCTCCGGTGGCACCCCTCAGCCTCCCCACCGCAGCCTGGCCCCGACCTCCCCACCCTGAGGAGCATGACCGTGCTTCTGTCCTGTGGCTGTTGTGGGCTTGGCGTGGGGACCTGCCCGCCTCTGCTCACAAGCCGCCCACGCCACCAGGTCCTCCGGGGACGAGGCCTGAGAGCCTGCAGCCTGGTCACACTCGGGGCCCAGGTTCAGGGCAACGGGGCCCGGACCACGTGTTGGGAAAAGAATCTGCGGGGAGCGCCCCCAGGTGCTGCATGGTGTCCATGTCCCCGCGGATGCTTCTGGGGGATCACCCCAGCAGAGCTCGTCCCCCAATGCGGTACCGAGCCCTCCGCTTCTACTACCGCACTTGCAACGGGGGTGGGGGGTTGTCACCATCACACGTAGGGAGGCACTGTCCCCTGCTCCTCATGTCACCCGCCCCCCGGGCGCAGAGCGGGAGGACAGAGGGGCTCAGAGATGCCGGGCAGGAAGCCCCGGCAGGAAGCGACAGCGAGAGGGTGGAGTGGGGGGACCGTGGGGCCAGCCCTGGGGAGAGGCGGGGGTCCCCGAGTGCCGGCTGGGCCAGGGACGTGCACTCCGGAGCTCACACGACACCCACAGAATAAAAGACATTTCTATCCTGACTTTTGCAAATGAAGAGGAGGTGGAGGCTTCTGGAGGCTTTGGCCTTGGCTCAGAGCTCAGCCGGGAGGGCTGGACCCGGGGTTTGACCCCGGCCGCGGGGCTAACCCCACGCTCTCCGTCCCGACGACCTCCCTCACGGAGGGTCAGGGTCGCGGCAAGGACACAGGCTGCGCTCTCGGGCGGTGCCCCCCACTGGCCCTGCTCTGTGGGATCCTCGCCCGCCGGGTGCTCGGGGCAGTGCTGGGCCGCAGTCACCAAGACCCGGAGCGGCGGGCAGTTAGAGCCGAGCGGGCAATGGGAGCGACAGGTGGTTCACGTCCTAGAAGCCCCGGGGCGACCCCCTGGCCCCCGGGACCCCACGGATAGGCCATGGGCCACAGCTGTGGCATGAGCACCTCCTCTTCCTCCCCTGCCCTGGGCAACTCCCAAGTCCCAATGGTCATCGCCGTTTTAGCTACCCCCTCCTCCCCCGGACGGCTGCCAGGATTCCTCCCGCACAAACCCCCAACCTGCAGACGGTGGGGAGCAGCCTCCATCAGCGGCCAGCCCGTCCGTGACCCCAGAGCCCACTCACATGAAAAGGACGGGAGCCCCGTAGCCTCAGGGCAGTGGCCAGCCCGGGACACCCCGCCCTGACCGCGTGCCATCCCCCACGAAGTGCTGGCACCATCCCGGCCTCGGGGGCCCGCGCGGATCCCATGCGAACCTACCGTGGGGGACCCAAGCACAAGACCCCCCTGCACACAGCTGGCCCTGGAGAGAGAAGCTGCAGGGACGCAGCGACCCGGGGATGCCTCTTTCCCCGTTTTGATAGAATCCTAGAAGCCGGACAAGCCACGGGGATCCTGCTGCCAAGGAAGGGCCGGCGCTGGGTGCGGTGTGGGGTGGCGCACGGTCTCCCGGGGCACGCGGAAGAGTACAGGTCGCAGGCTCTGTGCCGCGGCCGGTGTGGACAGCACGGCCGGAGGGCCAGGGGCTCAAGGGCAGGTAGGTCTGCAGTAGCCAGATGCGCCATTGCCGCCTTTTTTAACGAAATCCCAGAGATCAGAGGTACCAGGTTCTCCTCCTTGACAACGTCCGTGCTGACGACTGTGCACCGGTCAAACTGATCTTGAACCACCTCCCTAGGTTCAGTCCTCACCCACGGGCCTGGGGCCTCGACCAGAGCCCCTCCACCCGGCGAGCCTGCTGACGCTCTGACACCCCCAAAGGGAGCCAGGCCTGCCTCGCCCCCCGGACCTGCTGACCCTGCACCGGTCCGGCCTCAGGATCTGCCCACCCACCCATCGTGCCTCTCCCAGCCCCGCTTTTGGCTGCTTTGCAAACTCCAGGCTTTGTACACCAGCTCCCCGCATGTGGGCATCGCAGACGCACGCGTGATGCTTGGTCCTCTCAGGTTTTGACATCGGTCCTCGGTGTCACGCATGAGTTGGAACACGCTCTATGTCTCCTCACGGGGCTGGAGACGCCTCCTCTCTGGGGCCCGTCCCGGCGGCCACCTGACTTGCAGCCAGGAAAGCACCTCCCATAACGAGACTAGAAGCCAGGGCCGGCCTAGCAAGTACCAGGCCCACATGTACCTGCCTGGGAAGAAGCCCTGAAGGTCACCTCCAGGAGGAACCCAAGAGGCGGCTGTGTTCCCGAGTGCCCCCGCCCCCGCCAGGCCTGTGCTGACCAGCTGTGCTGCCATGTGGACCCCACAGCACGTGAGCACTCACCGCCCTTCTCTGTTCCCCACTTCGGAGGCAGGAAGAGCCCTCGAGGCCGGTGTGGGCTACTCTGCGCTGCCGCACACGATGGGCAGAGCTCAAAACACGGGAGGGGCTGGGAAGCCTGTCGGTTTCCCCTGGCAAGGGCACTAGGTTCCACCGTGAGGACAAAGGGAACCAAGAGAGGGCAGGATTGGGAAAGCAGGGGCGCGGAGGGTGGGAAAGGGAGCAGGAGCCGGGAGGGGGCAGAAGTGCATCCAGCCCCGCGCCTGGCACTCTGGGGCTCCGGGGAAGGGCGGCTGCTGCTGTCCATCGAAGGAGTTCGGATCGAACGAGAAAGTTCTGTCACAGATGCTCCTACTGCTGACGTAGCAGTACTGTCTCTGAGTCTCCGCCAGAAGAAATATATTAAATACAGAGAAATCTTGATGTTTGCTGAACGTTGCTTTTATTTTTTTTTGAAGATTTTATTTATTCATGAGAGATACACACAGAGAGAGGCAGAGACCCAGGCAGAGGGAGAAGCAGGCTCCATGCAGGGAGCCCGATGTGGGGACTCAATCCCGGGTCTCCAGGATCACGCCCTGGGCGGAAGGCGGCGCTAAACCGCTGAGCCACCCAGGCTGCCCATGAACATTGCTTTTCATAGTGAAAAACAAGAAACTCTCTAAAATGAACAATGGGAGAATAATGGGATGAGCTGTGGTCAGCCCCCTTCCTCTTCCTTCCTGGGCCTGGTTCACGGTGCGAAGAAGACGGGCCCTTTCTCCAGAAGTCAGGGGAGCAGCAGCGGAGAGCCGGCGGGAGGACTGTTTGGAGGGTGGAGGGGAAGCCTCTACGGACTGCGTCGTCTCAGGTCAGCCCGAGGGCTAGCCCCTGGTTGTGCTCTAAACCACTCAGATTTTTTTTTTTTATGATTTAATGTATTTATTTGAGAGACAGAGAGC